GAGGGCGCCCGGGGGGGGGGGGGGGTTCGAAAAGGTGAAAAGTGACGAGAAAGATGGAGACATCGGCGTTGGACATTTCTGAGGAATGAGGAATGTTGGCTTTGTATATCAAAAGGTGCCAAAGTGTTCGGGGACCTGGTGAGCTTCGTCGCGCAGAATACTCCGTTGTTGCGCTGGCGCCGACATGAAAAGCCTGACAGTGCCTGAATCCGACACGCACGTAATAAGTGACACGAGGGATTCGTCATGAAATGGACATGGCGTGGCGGGAAGTGTTTATTATGCGGGTTACAGCTCACATCTTGAAGCCAGGCCAGTATCCGCACTCCGTACGCAGGAGAGCATCCCTGGTTGGTAGAGGCAGGTTTCCAGCACCAATTGGGCTCCCAACTCAATGCGGACGAGCATCAACAGTGTCCTAGATTCCCCGCGTTGGAGAAGCCGGTCCAGTTCGTTGAGCGGCTGGTGGCGGGGGAAGCAGCACGTCGCTCCCAATCTATCCGTACTTCGTCCTGGTTTGAGCTGAGCGAACAGCTACCAGTAAATCCGAGAAACATGGGGGGCGAACAGTCTCCTCGGTGTCACCGCACAGGCTGGTGCCCGAGATGCGATCGTCTGCGCCCGCAAGGGGGATTGGCTGGACCCTTGCCAAACCTCATCCCCCCCTGTCTCTCCTCTTCCTTGTCTTCAAAAGGCAACAGGGATGGATCATCGGCTCAAACCTGGTCTCGGGCCCGGTAGCTACCGGCGCCGTGCACGCGGCGTAACATGCACCAATGAGGGAGGGTCTCTGTCTGCCCTTTGTGCAAGGACTGGCCGTGATTATGCAGAATGGTTATTCCAGCATAATAACGGGGATTGCTCACAGCCTTGGCCAAGTGCAAGCCGCAGCAAGGCCACAGTGGCGATCCTACCACGGTGTGCACTCCATGAACTTCAAAGCCTGTTTCTTCTTGCTGTCAGCGGTTTCTGTCCTTTTTTTCTTCTTCTTCTTCTTCTTCTTCTTCTTCTTCATAAAAATGCCCATGTGACCCTGGTAGCCAGTAACGAAACCTCAGATGTACAAGACAATCAAAGTACTCCGCGTGCTA